ATCGTAAGGAATCAGGTACGGGCATGCTTATTGCCATTGTCGTGCAGCTATTTGAGCGGAAAGCTTTGAATTTATTCCTCACTTCGGTCATAGAGGAATTACTGTAGCGGTTCGAGGCTTGGCACCTCGGACCTATCCTTACACCTCTACGTCACTTGGAGCTCGATCAACTTGTGAAGCTTTGATCCGCTTCGATAACTTCTTGTCGTAGATTTAAGGTTCCAAGTTGTTGTCCTTATTCTCCGATCGATACTAACCATGATCCCGAACGAAAATGAACTGTCTTTCTAGTAGAAGTTAACCAATTCATGAGGTGGCTGTCATCGTCGATGTCGAATTGTGGAAGGCCGACCGTGTTGTGCTAGATTATTGTCTTACAACTGGGTTTGAAGAGGAGAAAGAAATCTTGGGAGAGAATAGGTGGAAGATAGGGGTAAAATGTAAAAATAAAACTTATCCCACTTAATCTCGGCAAAAACCTACCTTGAGCCCCTCATCTTATCAAGTTTGAAGGTTTTAACCTCTCACCTTATACTATAACACTTTTAACCCCTCACCTTATTAGATTTATAAGTTTTAATCTCTCATTTATTAAAATTAAAGAAAATAACCATTACTTTATACTGATTGTTAACTTTGTTAGCTGAAAATAAATTTTTATCAACTAATAGTCAACTAATAGTCAGTTAATAAAATGAACAAAATATTATAAAATTAATTCTATTAACTCTATTAATTAAAAAAAAGGTTTTTATAAGTTTACAATCAATTAACAGCCAGCTAATAAAATTAACAATCAACTAATAAAACTAATAAAATGTTATAAAGTGAGGGCTATTTTCTTTTATTTTAATAAATGAGGGGTTAAAAATATTATACTATAAAGTAATAAATTAAAACTTATAAATTTAGTAAGATAAAGAGTTAAAAATATCATAATATAAGGTGAGAAGTTAAAATTTTCAAACTTAATAAAATGAGGGACTAAAAAATAGACTTTTTCCCTTGGTCTCATGGGAGGTGGGTTAGATTACATTTTTATTTGATGGCCGTTGGATGGCATAAAAGATTGGACAGAGGTTGTCTAATTTCTTAGCTCTGTCAAATAGGAGATGAGGAACAAATTTTTTGTCCTATCCATGGTTGGTTCCGTCTCCGAAACGTGTTTCCGCGTGTTTGGACTTTGAAGTTCTTTTTTTTGTTTGGACTTTGAAGTTCTTATTGTGAATCTGTGATGAGTTTTAGAAATTTAATTATAATGGCATAGCAGCCACACCAACACTGAATTACTTATTTATATAAGGGGTATAACTCAATCACAACACAAAAAATTCTCTATTATTTAAGGATAGAATCCTCAATTTTACTTTTTAATAAAAAGTAGAGACAGGTTTGTCTTAAAAAAAAGTTTGTTTAAACTGTATTTTTATTATATAAATTAAAGATATATTAAATA